GTTGTCATAATTGGGTTGTGACCAAGCAGTCCTGCCATCTGGTTTGATCCACAAAGAGTTAACGTTGTTCCCCTGTTGTCTCAGGTGTGATTGGTGCCTGCAAGGTGTCACGTTGACACCTCCAGTGCTGGGCGACTCTGTGCCTTTATTGACATGTTGCTTGCCAAGAACACAATAGCACTCTGTCTGCAAATCTCCGCTAAAAATCATCTTTCAAAAAAAAAGAAAGAGAGAGAAAGTTTGAAAGCCTTAAGGCTTCGACAAAGGCACAAAGAGCTGCAGTGCGCCGGCTCAAAACTCCCGAGTCAGCAACTTCTATTGATTAAAAACTAACCTTTAAAGTAACTCTCGGAGTGTGTGGTTAGCATTTAAATTTAAACATGTCACGAGTTGATTTGTGTTACTGAATACCAACTCTGAAGGAGCTACATTCACATCAGGGCTTTCTCCTCCTCCTCCTCTTCCTCCTCCTCCTCCCCCAATTCCCTGAAGCAGCTAAGTATTTCATGAAGTGTCAGTGGGGCAAACGAGAGGGAGAAAGGTGTTTATAGGGAGACCGTTCAATTGGCATGAGCCTTCTAAGTTTTCTTTCCCATGTAAATAGTCAACTCCTCCCCTAAACCCTCTCCCCCCCCTCCCCGCCAAAGGAAAGTGTGGGGAGTGCAACACAATAATTAGCCCTTTGTCTAACTTTCCCAAGTGCCAGAGAGGCCGATTAATTAAATATACAACAGCATTGGGTTTTGGAGTGGGGGTCTTGCTTTCTGGGTAGGTCATAAATTAGGCTGAATAAATACTTCAATGTGTTTGCAGTGGGCCTGCTACGTCAGAGCCCCTGGAAGGTTGGTGGGAGGAGAGCCTTGTGTTTCTTGCTAATGATAGTCACGTCTGGGTCTGTCTGGTTGCTCCTAGCAACCAGACATGATGTAACACCAGGATGAACTTGAACTTGGGGACTTGAAAAGGGAACAATAGACCAGAGCAATCAATAAAGCCTATTTCAGTGAAGGATTACAGAGCTGCTCTGGGGTAACCTTGTCTGCAAGGCACACACTGAATAGTAAGATGGGCAAAGAAAGTTTTACCCTCTTTTTTTTTTAAGGAGGGCAGAAGCACTGCAGAACTCTTTTTAAAAAAAGTTATGCAGTGAGTAGCAGAGGAGAAAAATGTGGCATGGAAAAGGGCACCTCCTGCTGTCCAAAATGTGGATTGTGTATCACTAAAAAAAAGAGGGGCTATGTATACAGGCTGCCTTCGGCAATAGTGTAAATTAAGTTTAAGTCTTTTACCGCATGTTCCTAAGTGATCCCAGGCATATTGATGTCCAGATTCAGAATCAAATCACTATACTACTAAGTACTCAGACCAAATTTAAGTAGCCCTATCAATTATTTAAAGCTTCTAAAGTAAACATTATATCAGATCCATAATCAAGCCGGATGGCAGGGTTTAGACTCTTGATAGGAAAGTTTGAACTATAGTTTGCCTAACAATTAGAAAGTTGTCCAACTTTTTGCATCTTGATTCTACACTGGGGCATTGATAGAAATGCCTGTTCTGCTGCAATAAGGCAGTTCTTGCAGGTGGTACAGACACATACTATGGAAACATGTATGTATTGAAACAAACCTTGGGTTTGTTTAGGAAGGACCCTTATGTGAAGATGAAGGTAATTTAAATTAAAATATATTTTGTACCAAAGTACTTAAGTGTAACATTCTACTGATGGCAACAGCTTAAACCATAATTCATACAGATCATATTTATGAAACTTGGCATTTATTTACTCCTCTTTACTGATTGAATTAATTTTCTCAAAATATGTTCACACTAATCTGGCGGGTAACATCTGCGTCAAAATAATGAATTCAGATTCCTTAGTCACCCAAGGAAATTTTTGTGTAAAAAGTTCCAAAACAAATAGATTTCTATTTAATCTCAGCCAATTTCAATCTGATTTACAAGGAATGCTGTGAAACAATAGCAGATGCAAACATATTAACTTTGTAAATGTCCAGAGAACTAGATAGTAAAGTAAAAAAGGACACTAAAGTATACATATTGACAGAAGTTTCTCTTTCACAGTTAAATATTTTAAATAAAACAATACTTGTTTAACATACCCTCATGACTTTCTGCCAACGCTTAAATCAACCTTTAAGATAGCCATCTTTTCCCATTTTTTGTCATGTACAATTTAAATATAAGCACTTGGTTACTTGGTAGATTCAGTAACAATTTAAAATCAGCTTTCATCTCTAGAAAGTATTATCTCCTTCATAGGAAGCATTACAGTATTACATTATTAATAATACATCAGTATAAATTATTGTTGTTCTTAAAATGAAGTGGTACAAGTATAGTGTGTTTTGTGTTTGCGATGTGTCATCATTGTTCAGAAATTCAAGAAATGTAAAATGGGCATTAGGTGAAAAAAAGCTGTGTTAAAGAACAGGGAGGTCTATGTACAGTTGATTATCTTAGACTATAATTCAGTTCAGTCTTACCCACTGGAGTAGAATCTTATAAAATCCTATGTCAGCTATTTGGGGCTTAATGTGGTGAAAAAGACAATTGAAAACTGTAATCATCCAGACCTCTGTTCCAATAATAAGGCTTCCCCCTTTTCTCCTCCATTTACAATTCCAAATCTGCTTTAAAGAAAAAAGGAATCTGTTTCAGTGTTGGATGCCAGCCTAGTACCATAGACCCATTTGGATGCCATAAGTGAATTCAATGAAATATATGGAAAATGATTTTTCAGAATGCCATTTCCATATAGAGATGCTATCATTGTGTAGACTTGCAACATTAGACTGGCTAACCTGACACCAGTGTCAACTTTTAAATACGCATGTTATTTAATAGTTTACATGTTACATTGCTATTCTCCACAAGTGAGCTGTTTCTCAGTCTTGGTCAGAAAGAAAAGAATATTTCTAGGAATGTTCCACTTCTAGAATGCTCTCTGAAGAAAATGTCCTTTGGTTTTTAAACATTTTTCCTGTCAATCAGTGTCGTTCTAAAGGACCAAGACTTCAAAGAAGTTCGAAATCAGCTTTGAATTTGTCTGATGTCAGCTGATGTTTGAAACTGATTCAATTTATTTTTGATTATATGCCAGTTTATTTGAAATCAGAGTAAAACTGTTCCTTCCACCCCCTTTTTGAATCCATGAAGTTCTGCAGAAGTTAACAGTGGTTTATTTTCCCCTTTGGTAAAAAAAATGTTTTTTCATCATGCCTTTTAGCTCCTGGATTCAAGACAAAATCACATCCTGTTCCTATTTGGAACCATATTTACACTGTTTACAAATTTTACCGTGCCCTTCTTCACTTTGTTTACTGCAACAGCAGGCAGTTATGATTATTGCTATTGGGAAAAGCATTTATTTGCACATTTGCTGGCATGTTACCCGTGTCACTATTGTAGCCAACAAGAGACTTTCAAAAGCAACAGAGTTCTAGCTATTGGTAAGCCACCATTCATCACTTATTTTTTTTCCTATTCTGAAAGATATACTTTAATTAATGTAAATGTGACCAGAACAGCTAGTTCCAAAGTGATGGAAGTCTCAAAATTACAAAATCTCTCTCAAAACTTTCCATGGCCTTATTTTGAAATTTATAATCTCATAATTCATGATGGGATCATTAGATTCTCATTCATGAATTAACATTATCAACATCAGTGCATATCTGAAATAAACCTGTATGTCTTGTAATGAAGCTATTGAGACTACAGCCTATTCTGAACATGTTGGGAATTGTATTTTCTATAATGGCATAATTATTTTTGTTTACTGCAATGGAAAATTGATTTTATCGGACCTTCTTTATTTTTTATCATAAATTTAGTATAGATCAACAACAATTGTTTCTTAATTTAGGACTTGTCTTTCATGTTTTAATTTGAAGCTGAGTTTAAGATGTTTTACACAACTCTGCACCTTTTGCTTCATAGACTTTCAATGCAAAAGGTATAGGTGTAAGCCAGATCACTAAAATAGAAACCTTTATTGTAAAAGAGTTCCTTTTTTCTACAACATTTCATTTATTTATTTTATATTCATTTATTAAATTTGTATGCCACTATCTCCCTACAAGGTGACTGGATGGCTATAGATTAGAATAGCCATTAGCCAAGGCAGAGTGGCTGTGCCTTAACATGCTTTTAAATGGATATTAGTCTTGAACTGTTTTAGCAATCAAAGTTTATTATAATTATAGGAAAATAAATGCAATGCCATAGTTAAATCATATTTTTGGTCAAAATGTATCCTAAATAAATGTGAACTTTGATAACACTTACAAGAGCATATAGCAAGAAGCAGTATTCTACTGGTTTGGACCAGTTCGCCCGAACCGGTAGCAGAAATCATGCATGACCCCACCCACAGCTCTATGGCATCCCATTTAGGCTCTTTTTTTTAACCAAAAGTGCATGTGTGCGCTCACATTTGTGAACCGGTATGGAAGGGAAGTCAATACCACCCCTGCATATAGCTGTGTTTAGACTCTGATGAAAAATGTCAAGGAAGTATATATAGTAAGAATTATTAAGTCAATTATGTCAAGCTACAATTGCCAACTTTGTGATGATATTAACAAATTTCTAACAATAGAAAACCACTACAAAAACTAAGTGTTCTTCTGCTGCTCCCTTGTCCTCTCCCCTTAATCTCTTCTTTTAGCCTTTTTTAATGAGTTGTGGATGTGCATTATTTTAGTACCCATTGTGCTGTCGTACTACATAAGTTCATATTGATATGTCCATTCAATATTGTTCATTTCCCAATTTTCAAGGAATTACACAGATAAATAAGAGACTAAGGGTGCACAGTTTTAATCCGACTTGATCTGTCTCATATTCTAGTACCAAAACAGTGAAATTAATGATTCCCGGTTTTCTTTTTACAGAGTTTCCATCCATCTCAATGAATTTATATTAGAATTCTCTCGCAGATCAATAATTCTGCTTTCCCTTTGTCTTCTTTGCAGTCCTGGTACCTGGGATAAAACTCACAGCTTCCCACCATCCAGCAGACAGACCATCTCTTCCCCGTCCCAACTCTGTAACATGGAAGCAGCCACAAAACAGTGTTGTTACTTCACGTCCATGGAAGGGGAGCAGACAGAGATTGACAACAAACAACTGCTCTTACTCAGAGACGGCAAACATTATGATTGAGCATCAAAGGCCGTAATATTGTGGGGGGAGGAGGGAGTTTGAGGGTTGGGGTTTTGGTTTGGTTTGAGTTTTTTTTTTTAAAAAAGAACACCTTAGTGACCGACGTAATTTCTCATATGGTGCTGGAAATGTTTGAGCTTCATATTTTTGAAGTGTTGCAAGTGGTAGTGTAAGAATTAGGGACATTGGGTAGCAGAGCGAGCCTGCTGGCTACTTACTGACTTGCTATTGTAACCCTTTCCATACAGCACCTAACTGTTTTACAGTATTTTTTACTGATTAATTTCCCATACGAGTGTGAGACTTACTGACAGATCCGAAGAGCTACACATAAATAACTTTATAGTAGCTGAGTTCTTCAGTATGGAGCTTACAAGACAGTCGTGGGGCATGTTTTTTTTCTGTAACATATCAGGATTTTTTTAAAATTTCGCAATCAGCAATTCAATATATGACATGAATCATAAGATGGTTATTGACAGGTTGGTTTTCCACACAAGTGGCAAAGAAATATAAATCATCAACCTACTACAGGTCAAAGAAAAAAGAAAAAAAATTAAATGCTGCACTTAACATGAAACATTTTTGACAATTTTCAACAATGACATGAAATTCATATGGAAATGGGGAAGTTGGTCTGTTTTGATAGAAACTGATAGGAATCAATCAAAACAATCGAATTTTGAATTGAGAAAAGTGCAATTTCATTCGATAGCTAAATATCTTTGTAAGATAGAGATTGTTGAAAATTCTATTTTTGTTTTCCAAGTCCTTCCACCCCAGGACTCTAAATTATTGGGGTAAAAAAACAGCCTTGCAAGAAAAAAAAGGGGAGGGGCTATTTTTGATTTTTATGTTTTTTATTGTTAAACTTGTATCCCTTTAAAACTGAAGGAAATTTAAAACGTTCACACACAAAATTTAATGGTGCTTTTACCACAATATGTTATCTTCATTAAATGCTAATTATTTTCTGTTATCAAAGCACATAATTAAAATTAAATCATAATATCTGTTCATTATATAAGCTAAAAGTCAATTATAATAGAGTATGACAATTCTGACAAATCATACATGTTTCCGGCAATATAGGGTATATCACTTCTTAAAATATTTTGACCACAATTTAATGCAGAGCAAGACATGTTTAAAAAGTAGCTTTAAGCATTTTTTGTAACCTGCATTGGATTGAGGTCCTTAATATAATAAGAGAGATAGCTGTCCAGAAAGTAAAATGCCTCTTGTGTCCCCGAACTGGCTGTTTCTTTTCTTTTCTTTCTGGACTGCAAAGGCATCAGTAGAGAAGCAAAATGTGGATTTATATTTTATGCCAGTTCAAAGTAAGGGCACTTGCTTAAAAAAAAAGTTTGGACCCCAAATGTCCTGTATCTTATGTAAAAAAAAATGAAAAAAAAAACGGCAAAAAACAGCAAAAAAAAATGCAAGTGATTTTTTTTTTCCCTATCAGACAGCGGAGCACCCCTTTGCTTTCCATGCAACTTTAAGAAGGTTTCCTATATTATACATATATATACATTCTGGTTGGCAAATCTAGCTAATCAGAGAAAGTCTCTGCATGTTCTAGTGTTAGTAACTAATTTTTATATAGTTAATGTAGGGTAAAGTAGAGTGCATTAAGACACAATATTGTAATCCCTAATCCAGGCACTTGCCTTTAAACTATGTTTGTTCGGCCCTTCAGAAGGGTTTCTACTACTGTCCTATACAATCAAGTAAACTGAATTTCTTGGGAAGACACTTTGCTCCTCATCTTTTCCCTAAAATTATTTTTTTTTTGGTTTTGTTTTCTTGATTTGCACGAAACAAAATAATAATAATAATAATTCCATATCAATGTGCCTTGCCCTGGATAGCGATTATTTGTGGAATTGTTGCACATGTTCCTCTATTGAAAGGGTTATTTTTTGCCACCTAGTCAAGCATTTGGAGACACTTTTTTGTAAATGTGACTTTTATGTCCACCATTGTCAGTTTCAGCATCTTAGAATACAGTAGAATGTTAGTTGTTTCACAGATAGGGGTAGTGTTTTCTTGTCCTGTACGGTCAGTGGCAGTGCTATTCTGATATCTGTAGATGCTAGAGTATATCAGTATTTTTGATGTGGCTGCATTTTACATTTTTTTTTGGAGTCTTCCTTTTGTTCGTTTTTATTTTTATTTTATTTTTTCCCAGATATATGAAAATATGCAATACCTGCTTATATCATGTAGAAGAAAAGCTTAGCAATTCTTAATTTTTCTTTTAAGTCTTTTTTTTTAATTTGACCAAAGTCAGTGCTGCACTTGAAGCAGCGTGTTTTAGGTGTTTGTCTTTGTACTTTTTTTGTGTGTGATTTTTGAATGCACACGCAGGAAGGGCTCTTCTTAGAGAAGCAGTCAAACTGTGAAGCACTAAGCTGGACCCTGCTTCAAGCAGTTTTCGTTTTTCAATTCTTCCTTTCACAAGCAAGCCTTAAAAAAAACACCTCCCATTTTCTTCAAATCCCACACCCATTTTTATTAGCAGATTGCAATCAAACCACATTCAATAAAAAGTATAAAATGCCCATTTTTATATGCACGTTTTTAAACTTCCAAGTTCTGAAAATTGTTTACTGGTTATTCTCTATTTAAAGAAAAAAATGTTTTGGATTTTCATATATGTCAAATAAGTGGTTGAGTAGTCATTTGCTCTGTTGTATTGTGTGATTGTTAGTATTATGGTATCACATCCACTAGCCAGCATCCTTTGCCTTCCCTATAGCACTTAGCAGGGCATTACCTTATTAAGACATATGTGCACTAAAAATAAAAAAATTAGCAGCTTTCAGTGCTTCACAGTGAAGGGGGAAAAAAGCCTAGACAAACATTTTGTCAGAACCTTGCTCTAAGCCAAGGTATTACCAGTAAATTGGTTGTATATACAACAAAATTGCACCCTTTTTTAAAAAAAAGAAACAAAGCAAACTAAGCAATAGTTTGGGCAGTTAGTTGTTTTTAGTAAGCATGTGATAGTCATCGCCAGAAAGAGAGAGAATCAAAGCTGCCCACTCAGAAGCTATGTAATGTGTATGTTGTATAGTTTTATTGATTACACTGATTTATTCTACCCTATTTTATAATGCAGGACTTTTGTAATGTTGTTTAAATAAGGAAAATTTCTGTCAAATTAGCTTAGTGAAATTCTGATTGTTCGTTATAAAGGCAGCATTCATAGAATTGCTTTTTTTTTCCTTTGGGAACTGGATTTAAGTTAAAAACTTTCCTGTTTCCTTTTTTGTATGTATTTAAATACAGGTTTTTTTTCCTTCTCTCAATAGTATAGCATATTCCTATGCTTGAGAAGTATAGGCTACTGAAAAACCATTGTAAATGGACATTACAGATATGCTGTATTTTTGAAGAGGTTTTATCATATTAAGGTGGTAAAGTTAGGGAAATCTGATTGGAATCACACAAAACAAATTGTTTTTAAAGGCTTTAAACATTAGGCATGTGATCAAGGGTGTTTACCAACAGAAGCTGTAAAGCATTAAAGACACTAAATTGACATTTGTTTCATCTTATTGTCATGCAATAACAGCAGTTTGAATCTGTTCAGGTGTGGAGAACAGACTTTTCTTCCTCAAAGCAGAGTGGAGAATATAGATCTGAAGGGAGAATAATTGCATGGGGTGTGCAATTGTCCTTAATAGAAAAATAATCCTGGATCACACGCTGCAGAATCAGATTAACATACCCATCGCCCAATTCAAAACTGCTTTTTATTCTTTGCACAAACAGCTTTTCTGCCCAATGTCATTCTTTCAAGATGACCAGATGCCCAACACCAACCCTTTTTCCTCCTTATCCCAAATAGAAACAGCAGTTCTTTCCTTGAATTGACTTGACTAACAGAAATTTTATTCTCTTGATCCCTTTTCCAAAATAGGGCTTAGCTTATTGTCATCCTGCACACTCCCAAGATATTGCATTATGTATTCATTAAAAACCCAATGCAATCTTTCCCAACCTGATGTTCTCCAAGAATGTAGGACTATGGTTCCTGTTATCCCAGGATAGCATAGTCAGTGACCATGTTTGCTCATGAAGATAAGATGTAGAGACAAATGTGGCTGGAAAATCTTGATTTGAGAAGGGCACCAGCCATGGGGGTACCTTTTCTGTAAGAGGGTTTCCAGCCTTCTCTTTCAGGTTGACAAGTAAAGGAATAGAACTGTTTTTTCATCTTCACAGAATTCAGTCAGCCCAGAGGAATATGCAAAAATCCCTCTACCTACTTTTCTTTTAATGTCTTCTCTTCGTTCCATATAGTTTTCAGTTTTGTAGTGACAGTATTAAATTTACTGTGCACACACACACACGAGAGAAAAGGCAGAAAAAAACCACCATCCAAACACATGGCATAAAACTGATCTCTTTTTTCCCTTGTGATTTAAAAAAAAAAACAAATGTCAATATTATTCCTTGCATTGTGTCTCTGGAAATATCTTTTTATGGTTTTACTTTGGTAGAAGGCCTCCTTAGAACAAACATTGCAAACCACAATGGGGATGAAAATGTAAGGAGAGCTTCAATGGCACCTAAAAGAAACTCATCTTTCATACAATCTGTTGGGGGAGAATCTCATGAAATAAACTCTGCCTACCAGGCAAGGTTTCCATTAAATTCAAGCTTACGAAGCCAATTTTGTCTTGAAGTCGATGCATGTATTACTGTTGGACAGTAAAACCCGGCTATTCCATCATCAAGTCCAAGGCTGTGCAATAGTCTAATTAGTATTGAGTACCATTTCCCTTTTATTTTTTCCAATAAAAAAACAGTGGGATGAAAATTGCTTTGATATATAGCAGGTAACATTGAAGCTATTCCATAGCACTTAACTGTAGTGAATACTGTGTCACCAATTCTGAAATCAATTTAATGTTTAATGCAAATCCATTACATGGTGCTATTACAGGCTGGCAAAATGATTTACAAAAATGTGACAACTTGGGCTCAATTCACTCTGCTTTCCAACAATGTAAATGCATAGCAGTGTTTATCTGCATGAGAACTATGCACTAATATAAATCTGAAAAAAAAAAAAGAAATATATCAACTTTGGTATCTACTTTCCGTTAACTTCAATCCTTGCCTTTTTGGTCATTATTATAAATGCCAGCTTTAGGACAGAAAGAAATATAAGAAAACCAGCATAATACCTGATATATTAAAAATGTAGTGCCTGTGAAATCTGTATTATATTGCTCTTCTGAAGTAAGATTTTTCTACACCAGTAGCCTTCGCTGTCTGTCAGAACCTTCTGATATAGGTGATGTAAAATAACCAAACAATATTAATGCATGCTATTCCATAATGCTTAGTGAGCTGTATGAATATTACTCAAAGTTATGTTAGTCTTTTTTTCCCTCTGATTTGGTTCTTGTCAGATAGGTTTAAAGATATTTCACTGAGAACACAATTCTGTTTTTCCTTGATTTTGAGTGTTTTCAGTATTTTGGAAATACACATTTAACTTAAAATTCAATTCAGTATTATTTGTGGGGGGCATTCTTCACTTTCAAGGGCAGGTATGGGGTTTGAAATCCATGCCTGGTGGTATCTTTTCTTTGCTTAAGCAGCCTAAGAACTCTAAACGCTTATCTCAGAAGAAGAAAAAATCAAACATAAGTCTTCAGTCGAAGCGACAATTCTCAAACTTGGAACTGACATTGAAAGTGTTTTCCTAATGGACAGTGTTTAAACCAGGTACCCATGCTTGACCCTGTTTCACACCAGACCTCCTTATTTAACAGAAATGTATAAGAACTGTAAAACCAAACCTCATATGGCTATTTACTTTCTGTGCACTGCTGTGCTCTCTCTCTCCTCTCCTCTTCTCTCTCTCTCTCTCTCTCTCTCTCTCTCTTTGTCAAAATTCTGTATAAACGTTGGACCCAATTCATGAGTGGTCACCAGGAATTAACATAGGATTTTGGTATTCAGGTTGGGGCTCCTTTTTATCTCCCAGTCCAAATGGTATAGCTTTCTTTTTCTTTCCAAGATGTTCATTCAGCATACTGCTTTTATTTGAAAGCTGTCAGAGCATTGCAGAAAGGCAGAGCAAATCTTGGTCCCATCCCTTGAAAATGTTAAAGGTGTAGGACATGGACAATGGAAAATGTGAGATTATAAGTATTTAAGGAGCATTTTGATGCAGTCTAGACTGCATTGGAGAACCGTTCCACAGAGCAAAGTAGAGTTCCATTGGCTATAGAGAAATAGGTGAGATTTTGCAGAGAGTTTGTTCTTTTTTCCATAACGTTGCCTAATGCAATATCAGAGGTGTTCATTTGATCCATACTAGGCAACATCTCTCTTTGCACCCACCCTAAACTTCCTGATTTTATTTTTATCTTAATTTTTTAAATTTAATCCTAGACGGAAAAAAGAATCAACATTAATGGGAAGCAGGAATGTTGCTCCTAGCATGACATTAATTGACAAGGAAGCCTCTTTGGCCCAGACGGAAACTATAACACGTTGAGGAAACAAGGGACAGATCTGCCCAGTTTTTCTAGTGTAGCTCTAAAAAGGATGATAGGTCCATTCTCGGTTGTTTGCCTTTTGTTGGTTCATGAGAGTTTCATATCTGGCTTTGCTGCTAGTGTTGCAGCTCTTTTGTGAACACACAAGATCATTTCATGGGACATCTAGCCAGAGTGATTTGGGTATATTTTCAAGACACTAGACATATCCTCTGACATCCACCCATCCCAAGTTAGCTACCCCTGAACTAAATTGTTGGTGTCCTCAACCTTGATTCACCCATGATTTCGATCAATCCTTTTTTTTCCTTTCCAAAAGAAAGGAAGAAACCAAGAAGAGTCAAGATCTAAGGAATGGGAGAAACATAGACAGGAGATCTGGCAATAGGGTGAGAATGGCCATTCAAGTTGAGGAAAGATTCTATGTTCATGTGATCTTGGAGAGAACAAATATGGAACAGAGTAATGAAGCTAAGAAGGCAATCCTTCACATTCTGCTGGGAAAAGGTTTAGCGGGTGTTTTTCCCCCCAAGGCTTGCAAAACATGGTAGTGGGATTATTCTGCAAATAAGAATATCTATGATATAATACCTGCCCTTGGCTTATTTGTACAGTTAGCCATTCACCAATCCACTTACTCAGGTCTAATAATCAAACATTTGATTTTTCCGTCTTACGTAACAATGCATTCTCATGTAAAGATTTGCTGCAAATTCACTTAATCCTTGTTTTAATATCCCTGTGTTTCCACTTTTTTATGAATCGGGTCCCTTGTGCCTCTAGTATCCTTGTATTGATCCTCATAGTTACCATTTTAGGTTTACTGTGTTCTGTGAAAATTTGAAATTGGTTGAGAATCACTGTGGGCATCCATTCTTTTCAACTAAATCTGCAGATTTTTTTTTGAGCTGGTGTGAATTAGTTTAACTCTTGTATTCAACCATTAGTGCTACCACCCTCTCACATTACAATACAATTACTGGAAGCAAGTACTGCATTTCCTATGCAACAAAAAAGGAAAATAAAAAATTGCTAATGCTAACAGGCTTTGTTGTTCTTTAGTTTATGACATGCATGCAAGCATCTTTGTTATATATGCAGAATTATGACCATCTGAGATTTTAATACTCTAGGCAAAATGTAGTTTAGGATATTGTAATGAGATAAAGCAATTAGAGTATTGTTAGATCATTGTCACTTCAGAGATATATCATAGTCTTTTTATCTGATTCTGGTTGTAGCAAAATGGCAGATCCAAGGATTTTACAGCAAAAATATCAGGAATGTGGTAGCACCTTTTGTGATACAGAGGGGGGAGAGACTGGTAGAAATTGTACATCAGTCTAACCATTCAGTATATCCAATGCAGCTCTCAAAAGCATATGCCTTTTAATTAAATGTGTCAGTCACAAAAAGTGCAATCAGATTCCTGATTTTTCCCCCATAGACTAACATGGCTCTTCTCCTACAACATCTGCCCTACAGTGTTAAGAACTCTTCACTACCAAAACAGAATGCATCTAAGAATGTCTCAACTGCAAAAACACACATTCACCTACCAAATGTTGTTAGGTGCAATTAATTCAAGTTCAGAGAATCTGATGCACTGTTATCTCAAGATACAATCTACAATACTGAGGCAAATTCTTGGATTCTGAAAAGTTAGCTGAATACAGGTAGATTTATATATATCCTTCTATCCAACTGTAGTATAGAACATTCTAGTGGACACCAGAAATGTTAGGCAAGCCTTGGAAGCATTAGGTGCCTGAGCTGTAAAAAATGAAAAACAATCCAAATTCACAAAAAAAAAAACCCACCAGAAATAAAGACCTGGTGCCTTGGCCACCTTAGATATTCTCTCCCATCGTATTTTATTGTGTGTTTGTATGCAAAGGAAGTAATGTGTGGAACAAAATGCAAGGTTAGAGTGTTACTAAGATCACTTGGAAATGTGGGAGTGAGGGTAGGTGCATGTTTCTGCATATGAACCAAAAAAAGAATAGAAACACAGACCCAAACCTGCAGATGCACAAAAACTTACATCATGAATGATATGTTTATATTTACCCAGAACAGATACACAAAACTGCAGCTTACAAGACCATGGATAATATCCCATGATAGGCTTTTACAGGCATCATGTTAGCACTCACATGGTAAACAGTGGTTCTCCTTTGTCAAATGATGCATTCTTGTTAGTCCTACGTGAAGATATGATTTTCTGGATTTTCAAAAAAAACCTTTATTTCCATTCCTGGTCTATAACCCTGCTTTCATTTGCCCGAATAATGAAAGGCATTGAACCTCTGTGCTGTCTTGGCCGGTTCTTTGGCAACCAATAGGAGCAGGCTTTCTTCCACTGAAGGAAAAGCTTCCCTTGATTTTTTTTCTTCAGTCTTTAGCTTAACTAGTGCATTTTCATTTGGAATCAGGGCAGTCAAAGTATTTGCAATCAATCTCCCCTCTCTTAATTACATACAAATTTGGTGTTTTGTTCATAACGCTTTCACTGGCCTGGCATTGTATAGACCCTATTTACAAATGATCACTCGCATTTCTCTTTGCCACCAATAGAAGAGCTTCTCTAATGGAAGTTTACCATTTACTACTACTTTTTATCCTGAATCAGGAACTAGTTGCTATAATTCATGAATGCCAAGGGTAAGTGAGCTTAAAATATAAATCATCCTACTGTGTCTTTGAAATTATGTTTGTCCAAGGCAGCTTCCCAGAATTAGGATTTCTGAGCTCAGAAGGTCATTCTAACATAGGGAGGCATCAACTGTGGGAATAGACACTCTATGTCCTATTTGGAGGGATATGGTGAGAACTCTAATTCTGTCAAATATCAGAATAATAGAATCTAAAATGAAAGTAAACTTCAGAAATATGTGCATGGTCCATCACTTGAGGTTTTTAGAAGAGATTGGACATCCATTTGTCTGAAATGGTAGAAGGACTCCTGCTTGAGCAGGGGGTTGGACTAGAAGACGAAGGTCCTTTTCAACTCTGTTAATCTATTTCTAAAACTAAGCCTGCTTCCATAAAAGCGGACTTCAATTCCCAGAATTCCTCAGCTACATACTGTGGAAAAGTATATAGCCATAGACTGAGTTAGAGGTATCTCTGTCAGCAATGCTGCATTAGTGATATTAGTGGCTCTCTGCCTTGGGCAGGATGCTTAGCTAGATTATGTCCAACATCAGTTCCATGCATGACTCTCCTTAACAAGGTCATCATAATCATTGAACTATTCTCTTCCAGCTTTTAGCATCATTTGATTGTAATAGTCTCCCTTTCATTTTAGAAATATGTTCTTCCAAAAAAGAAATCCCCACTCACTGCTAAATCCAGAAGAAAGCCATTGAGAAGTTAACATTTCTGTCTTAGGAAATGGATGGTTTTTTTTTTAGTAATTCTACATCTACTGTTGAAAGAATATCTCTTCCCTGCCCTTTGCACCCTTGCAGTTTCATTTTACTTCTATTTTCAATCAGGAACAAATCATCCCCATATTTGGCTGCACCGTAAAGATAACCATGGCTTCAGATATTGGAACCAGTTCTACTGGCCCAGCAAGATAAGATTAAAATTGGGAACTTACTCAGCAGTGTGCTCTGTGATGAATGAGGCCAGCCAAGAATCAGAAGAAACTCTGTTGTCTCCTCTATCCTGTTAGATATAATTTCATTCAACACTCCATATCTGAAAACAGGAACGCAGTCACTTGTTTTTCAGATTGTCTATCCACTTGGATTTCCTTCCGTTTGAATTAAACAACATAGCTATAGAATATAATGTATAACAAGCCAGATATTAGGATTGCCTTGAACAGAAAACTACAGTGTTTACAAATAGAAACTGTTAACTCTTTCCTTTGGTAGAGATGTTGGATTGGATTGGATTAGATTAGATTACCCAATAAGTATACAATATATTATATTCATTCGAAATAACTACACATAAAAGCAGAAGGTATAGGTCCAGGGACACACTTTCCATTCTGCTGTGCCTCAGAACAAGAGTAAGAGCCAATTGTTTGCTTCTTTTTTATTTCCCGAAAAAAGAGAATAGAGGAAAACCTTCCATCCTACTTCACCAGGCCTCAAATATTAGCAACTTTTCCCCTTTCTTTTCTTTTCCAGGAGATGTAGAGCAAACTACCTATAAATGTCAAAGCAACAACCAGTTATTGGAAAAGGAGAGAAAGGGCATCTCTGCTTACATTAAAATCAGAACATTTCTTGGCACCAGGATAACGTCTTACAATTATATACTGTGATTTTGCCTTGTACACTTCTTATCACAGTAGCATTCATCCTGTGTGCTGATCAAAATTACCACAGGTGGGTATTTTATTTTTCTGGGAGCTTTGGTGCTCTCTGAACTTGGTTGTTTTCTTACAGTTGTTTCATTACCCAACTAAAAGGCATCAGTGCTAGCACTGATGATGTTACCTAGTTTGGGTAATGAGCCATCTGCATAAAAAGAAACCAAGCTCAGAGAACACCAAGGAAACTCATTTCCTTGACTTGAATTGACTAACAGAAGTTTTATTCTCTTGATCCCTTTCCAAAATAGGACTTAGCTCATTGTCATCCTGTGCACCCCCGAGATACTGCATTATCTCAAGTGACTGGCTCAAGGTCACCTAGTTGGTTTCCTGCCCAAGGCAGGACTAGATCTCCCAATTTTTAGCCTGATTCCTTAGTCACTCCTGCTAACTGACTTATAGGTAAAGGTAAAAAGGTAAAAGTTCCTCTTGCACATATGTGCCAGTTGTTCCCGACTCTAGGGGGGCAGTGCTCATCTCCATTTCAAAACTGAAGAGCCAGTGCTGTTCAAAGACATCTCCGCGGTCATGTGTCCAGCATGACTAAACACCGAAGGCACATGGAACGCTGTTACCTTCCCATCAAAGGTGGTCCCTATTTTTCTATTTGCATTTTTATATGCTTTCAAACTGCTTGTTTGGCAGAAGCTGGGACAAGTAACGGGAGCTCACTCCCATTTTTGTCTTTGAACTGCTGAACTGCCGACCTTCTGATCAACAAGCTGTGTCTTAGCCACTGAGCCACCGCGTCCTTCTAACACTGACTTAGACACACCTTCAAATAGATAGACAAAAAAAATAGTAGGGCAAGTGAGAGAAAGAAAATCTTTTTTTTTATTATTCTGCTGTGTTTCACACCAACAACCTCCTGAAGTAGTCTTCTAGCTAGCTACAAAGACTAGCTATTGTCACTTTACTGCTGATGGTATATAACTAAGCCTTTGAGAGGTGGAGGCAATGATTATTTCTGAGCTTGCTTGTTTTCTTGCAGATGTTTCATCCCCCAAGCTAAGTAACCTCACCAGCACTCATGATGTCACCAATTTGAGTAATGAAATGTCTGCAAGAAAACAAATGAGCTCTGAGAGTACCAAGGACCCCTCATTTCAGCCCAGAGCTGCATATATTCTTTATTAATAATAATTATTTAATCTAAGATTTGCTTCTTCCTCTGCGAAGTATTGAATGATCTTCTGGACTAAAACTGAGATAAGGAAACGATTTCAATCTGCATGGACAAGAGCATTTGAGGCAATAGAAGAGAAAGAAAAACTGGCTTTTTTTCAGGTCACATCAGGAAAATGCACCAAACATCAAATTTGTGGTGGCAAGAAAGGGCAAAGCCCACTGTCCATTTCTGCTTTCCAAAAAGAGTTGCTGGGTCAACCAGAAAAGTAGGCAACATGGATAAGCCTTCAACCAAACACCACTAGGTATCTACTCCCATCTTTTCTCAGTGAAGGGTTATTCTGTGGAAGAAAAGAAATGAATTAGTAGAGGATGGGAGGGGAATGCCTAGAATATGACTGCATTGCATCTTCTGTGATATTCTTTGTGGAGAAACTTTGCATCATTTATTCTCGAAACACCTCTCCCTCTATCAAATGGAGGGCTGGAGTGTGACAAATGGCAAAAGCTTTCTAGGGACTTCTTGCAAAGTAGGCAAAATTACAACTCTCTTTTTCTGAAAAATTAAGTAAGAGAAA